ACCCCTCGGTGTTGTGCTTGGCTGCAGGTGGCTCAGGAAATCTGGGTATATGAGAAACAATCGGTGACAAAGTGGAACGGAGACATTTTATCCTACAAAGATCATCTGAAGTCCCGGCTGGGTGACAACGAGCCGCAGCGTAAAGGCAACTGAGCCAGCGCGTTGTCACCGCGCAGATACTTCCCCACTTTCCCTCCTCCTGTAACAGGAAGCTACGGCAAGCGTCCATGGATGGTGTCACCAGATAAGGACATTAGTGACGGGGCCCGCAGGTTGTCACTATCTGGCTTCTCAGGGAAGGACGTGGCTGGTGTACAGCTTCCAGCTGCGGTGGGCCCCGGGGCCCCTCCTGCGCTCTCCTCATCGGATCCCCCCAATTTACATTTTGTTTTTTTTGTTTTTTTTAAGCAAATTATTTATCTGTAACTGAAAAGATCCAATAAAGAGAGAAACTGCGTTCTGTAACCTGATTGGCTGCCGGACTCTGTGGGCGTGTCCCTCGTGTGTCTAATGTTATATCTACTACCAGACTCCTCCCACTCCCCTCCCCCTTATGGTTCATACGCTGTATTCATTGGTCATTGACCCCACTCTAGGGAAGCACAGGAAAGAGAGAGGGTGACCCCGCTACAGGAAAGAGAGAGGGTGACCCCGCTACAGGAAAGAGAGAGGGTGACCCCGCTACTTTGCCAGTGGCACTCACGTGTTCTATGGACACGCCTTGGCCGGATCTCAGGGGTGACCTCCGGGTCAGGTCCACGTGTACTGACATGTGACCTGAGCCGCGCGCTGACATGTGACCTGAGCCTCGTACAGACTCGGTCTGATGCCTTGCCCTGCCTAGCCCTGATGCCTTGCCCTGCCTAGCATTACCCTAGCCCTGATGCCTTGCCCTGCCTAGCCCTGATGCCTTGCCCTGCCTAGCCCTTGCCCTTACCCTAGCTCTGATGCCTGGGGGGAGGGGCCTCATCCTATACACTGGGGGCCATGGAGGGGATTATGCCTACTTCTGCCGGGGTATGGGGGGGATAGGACAGTAATCTTACTCCTCATCATTACTTATTTCTTAAAAAGCAATTAAGGTTGAATTCTATGTTAAGGCCTTTGGGGGTGAGTGTGTCCAGTAGGAAGATCCATTTCAACTCATTTTGGGAAATATCCCTAATGAGATTGGACCCTCTCCAATGGCTTTCGACCTTGTCCCTCCCTATTACTTTTAGTCCACTGGGATCTTTATGATGAACCAGTTTAAAATGGTTAGACAAGCTGTGTTTGTGATGACCCCTCTTTATATTGTTCACATGCTCTTCCAATCTTTTCTTTAGTTCCCGTTTTGTCCTTCCAACGTATTGGAGGCCACATGGGCACTCCAACAGTATACTCCTCGCTTAACGACTTACCTGTTTTGCGACCACTCGCACTTACGATCGTCCTCCGAGCGACCTCCGACATCGCGCGTCAGCGCCAGTGCGACGTGTCGCCGGGGGAAGTGACGTCCTCCGTTCTTCACAGCGCGTCCCCGTGAGTATTTTCATTGTCCGATGTACAGTACTGTATAGAGTTCCTCACTTAACGACCAATTCGTTTAACAACCTGGTCGTAGGAACGGAACTCGGTCGTTAAGTGAGGAATGCCTGTATATCTGCTGGAGCAGGAAATAAATGTATCCATTTAGTATTCTTTACTAGTGGTATTAGATCTAAAAACATCCATTGTCTTTTTCCTTATTCCAGTAGTTCTGCAACAGATACATCTCCCCCAGGAAAGAAACCCTTTCCTTCAAAAAAGGAAACATTTCGTTTGGGCGGTTAAAAGCATTTCTTACCAATCTATGTCTAAGTGTAGCTGCTTTCCTATAAATCATGTTTGCCTCGTCTGGGAGTAGAGGGCCTAATGTTTGGTCTTTCTTTAAAATAGATTCAATTTTTCTGTGTTGGACGGAGTAATTAGTAATAAAGAATAGGGGAAAGCCCCCTATCAGCAATCCCCCTCTGTCCACTTTAACGAGTTCTGTTTTTTTTCCCTCCAATTCTCTGTCTCTATATCCTTTTTCCTGAAATCTATTGGTCAGTAGATTAGATTGTGCAATGTAGTCTTCATCGTTAGTGCAATTACGTCTAATCCTGACATACTGTCCTTTTGGAATATTTCCTAACCATTTAGGGTGGTGACAGCTGGATGTTGGAATATAACCGTTTTTATCTGTTGGTTTAAAGAATGTTTTTGTAACAAATCTATTTCCTTTTATGCTTATATCTAGGAATTGGATATTGGTATCACTAATGGTCCTCGTGAATGAAAGATTAAAAGTGTTAGAATTCATGTTACCAATAAAATTAGTAAGGGATTTCTGATCCCCATCCCAAATTAAAATAATGTCATCAATAAATCTTTTCCATAGGATGACATTAATTGGTTTGTTTTTAAAAATATGCTCCTCCCATTTACTCATAAAAAGATTCGCCAAACTCGGGGCAAATTTAGCACCCATAGCCACACCTTTTTCTTGTAAGTAATACTCTCCATCATCAGTCTGGAGGACATTCTTGAACAAACGGCTTTTCCTTCAGAACAGGAGCAGGAATCCCAAAAAAATGTAAGCCTTAGATTCCTCAGATACTAGAAGTAAGATGAGACATACCACATCCCCATTTATCTTTGGAGTGTTCAAAAAAAAAAGGACCCCTAAAATACGAGGATACTCCGTTTAAACACCACGGGTAAGCGGGAGACCTTTCCTTCCCTCAAACCTGACCCAGCGTGGAAATCTAGGACGGAGCTCCAGGCTCATCTTGATGAAACAAACGTGTTTAACATCTTCGGATCTGGTGAGTGCATTCCCTTCAGGGGATCTTCTCCACTTTTTTTTTCTTCGTTTTTTCTTTGTTTTTTTTTGGATTTGTGTTGGACACATTATTGCACTGAATTTTCACTGTGGAAGTGGAGCTCCAGGCTCATCTTGATGAAACAAACGTGTTTAACATCTTCGGATCTGGTGAGTGCATTCCCTTCAGGGGATCTTCTCCACTTTTTTTTTCTTCGTTTTTTCTTTGTTTTTTTTTGGATTTGTGTTGGACACATTATTGCACTGAATTTTCACTGTGGAAGTTTGGATTTGTGTTGGACACATTATTGCACTGAATTTTCACTGTGGAAGTGTCTTACATTTATGGACTTTTAAAGACTTGAAACACTACAAAAGATTTGGACTATTCACGGATACATTGATAGAAGTTTATTTCATTTTGTTTCAGTTTATTTCACCATTTAATATAATATTTCACACCTGATACAATCACTTACAGTTTTTAAACATTTATTAGATACATTTCATACATCTTTTGATCACTTGTTATAGATAACCATTCACATAGATTTAATCTAAATTATTGAGCTTTTGCGATACACCCCTGCACTGGATGTTTGATTTGATTTTCTAGCTTTAATTGCCGACCTCAAACCCTGATCTTAAACGTTTGATTTCTTACATCTCTGTCTTAAGGAGTGCTAGCGCTGTACATTCTAAGAACACACAATACTCTCCATTATGCCAGAAATAGTTTTTGCACATGGCAAAATTGGTGCATTCTATAATAAATTCTTTTTGTTTGCTCTTTAATGTGCTGAATTTGTCAAACGCCCATTGGATAGCCTCCAATCCTTTCTGGTGCGGGATAACCGTGTATAGAGAGTTAACATCTATAGTGGCCAGCATCGAATTCCCATTTATTTCTATTTGTTCTAGGATGTTAAGTATCTCTTTACTATCCTTGAGAAATGCATCCGTTTGGACTACTAGCGGTTGTAGGAAATAGTCTATACCAGTAGTGGCGAACCTTGGCACTCCAGCTGTTCCAAAACTACAAATCCCAACATGCCTCTGCCTCTGGGAGTTATGTCTGTGGCTGTCAGAGCCTTGCAATGCCTCATGGGACTTGTAGTTCCAAAACAGCCGGAGCTCCGAGGTTCGCCACCACTGCTCTATATATTCTCCCAATCTTGAGATTAGGGAATCTATCGCACTAACAATAGGTTTCTATATTTTCATGTATCTTGGGGTAAGAAGTATAGAATCGGTGTACGACAAGTGGAGGGGAATAGATATTCTTTCTCCTTTTTATTTAAAAGGTCAGAATTGTAACCCCTTATAATTAATTTCTCCAATTCTTTTTTAAAAATACTGAGAGGATTCTTATTTAGTTTTTTGTATGTATCTTCAGTGTGAAGTATGTTCGCCATTT